GTATTTAATTATATCCACAAATTATAATGTTCAGAATTCTAAACTTTAAATTACCCTACATATTTATGGTGCTGGCCGTGTGAGGCTTGCTAGCCAGCATATCATTTTCTTACATCATAGTCAGCAAATTTACACTGCTTTACATGAAAGGAAAGGGAAGTGAGTCCTTTATACTCAGTGGAATTGGCTCAAAAGAAGAGAAACAAATAAACAATGTTGAATTTGAATCAGGACTTGTACTTGTTCACTTGACCTCTATGGAACAATTCAATGAACATTTCCCTGCTCTGAAAATAAGCTTTTTGATAGCAAAAACATGCTATTTCTGATTTACCTCCAGTAATTTTTCCCTTAGTGATGATCTATTTTTATACATACAGTATTTTACATAGAGGAAAAAAAAAAGCTAGAAAATTAGCATTTTCTGCAAAAATRCAGTGGGAGTGTTAAGAATTTTGCTGAAATAGGCTGAAAAGGTAAAAAAAAWTTTTTTACTGGAAGCCTTTTTTGGACCTGTGCATACTGTAATGCTAACAGTTAGATCAAATAAATAGCCAGCATGAGTAAAATAGTTATAAAAAAAAGTTGGTAAAAGTTTTCTAAAATGTTACAGAGCGACAGTGCCTTAAATAAGCAGAATATCAGCTGAAATTATAAATAARCAAAAMACTAGCTGAAAGCTAAATAATACCACCTAAAAGCTAAAAGTAGCAATATTAGCTAAAAGTAACTACATTTTTTTATATTCACACATTCATATGTGATATTTTAGAGACCAGTCTGCTCAGAAGCAGAAGGCTTAACACAGAAACACTTTGAATTTGCAAATAAATCAAACAAGAGTTATACACATTTTGTTTAAAGGTGAAACAAGAAGCCATGTTACCTTCCAGCTGCCTGCAGCCAGGTTCTGTAGAGCCCCRGCTGCACCTTCAAGGGTGTCAGGGTTCGAGCATTCAGAAAGCAGAGTGAGGTAGGGCTTGACGATGGTGGGGTGCCACAACATCTGAACCCCTTTGGGAGGCTCTGCTGTGTCGGGAAAGGGGCTCACTCCATCCCACTGTGGAAGAGGGGAGATAAAGATCCCTTTTGATGTAACTTTATAAAGACATAGCTGAATGAACGTACCCGGCTCCTGTACAATTTCTGCATGTTGTAAAAAATAAGAAAGAGCAAAAGAGTAAAAGAAAATGGACTACAAATGTTCCCTTCCCTGTTAAGCCACCTGTCTTGGTGTCTGGATCTTTTGTTGGATGACACGTCTACACCATTTACAAAGGGAGAAACCCAAATTTTCTCTCTGTCCCTCCTTTTATTGATATTTTCTGTGTTTTATGTTCTTGTTGGTTTTCCTCTTCCCATCTTTTCTCCTGCCTGGATCCCCCTCTCTTTTCATGCGGATGTTAATTCCATCCTTTTCTCTCCAACTTGTGTTTTTTTTCATCTCCCTGTTGACCCCCTCAGCTTTGCTCCACTGATTTCCCTCCCCTCTCATGTCTCTAGGTAAACCAGGCTACACCGCGTCTTCAGAGAGCTGCTGCAGTGTCTCAGACTGCGTCTTTTTATCTATATATTCTCAGACCGTACAAATCAAAGACCTTATATAGTATGAAGTGCAGAGGCAGAGAAAAAATAAAACATCAAATAAACCCAACTGTGTTTTATCTTAGAAACTTCTAAATAATAATAATGTTGGATTTGTCAGTCTGAAATTCTGTAAAGTATTTGTTATATGTAACAAACTATTTTGAAAATTCTCACCAAATCTTTAATATTCATTTTCTTAAAGCCACTCAAGTCGCCAAAATGCTGTTTAGCTGCGTCATACATGATGAAATGGTTTCCATTGACAATAACAGGAAGTGAAATCCTTTTCCAAAGATGAAGTGATGAAAATGGTTTTGCCTGTCTCTGTTTGTTAGTAGTGTCAGTAAAATATCTCACAAACTACTAAATGGGTTTTTGAAGCTCCCAACAAACAATCCTTGGGTGTACTATAGCTGATTCATAGTTTGACCCTGTCCCAATACATGCAACCCCACCCTTGTGCACTTCAAATGCCCGTAGTGTGTCCCACATTCTCCACATCTGCCCTTTGCCCCACCCATTTTGGGTACTGTTTCCACCTTACGCAAAGTCCACATTTTTACGGACTTCGGCKAAGTGTATTACCCACAATTCACGGCTTTGTGTGACRTTTTGAATTAAAAGGCAGAAATCTGGCAATGCCCAATGAGCACCTTCCAGTTTAGTGGTGGCAGTAATGCACTTAAATTAGTCAACCAAAAGAAGAAAAACTTATAGAAGTTAGTTCTCATACTCTGATGTATAAGCCTCCATCACTTCATGCGCTTTCTTCTCCTAAAAACGATTGCTTTTTGTAGTTGTACTGTCATTTTTAGCAATACAAATGCCAAAACAAATGACTAGTCCCGCCACGGTGGACGTCGCAGTTACGACGCAGAGGCGCAAGTCGACGATGTAATCCGTACTGTTCCAATTCTCAGTTTTTTGGCACGCTTGTAACCTGTGCACTCGAACATTTATGTGCACTTTGACTGAATCCACACTTCACAGAGGGGCGTAGGGTGCGCACTGAGCATTGGGACTGGGCCTTGGAGTCAACTCCAATAATATTATAGTACTACTGTACTTGAAAATACACTGCAAGTGTTTCTCCAAATATCTGCTAAAGATTTCACAAACCTCTCACATTGTGTCAAAAAGCCAAAAATCTCATGCATGGAACATGGTCCAGTACTACATCAGGTTGAGTTCAGGGTCTCACACACCGCTCTCTGTCATTTAAACTCTAACCACCGATAAATAATTAAAGACTACAGCAAGGTTCATGTCTCTCCAGGTTTTTGTTTTTCTCTTTCTCTCCTGCCTGGTTTCTTTCATTCATTTTCTCCAATTTGATCCCGTCTCGTGGTCCCTACTCTTCAGGTTTGGCTCCCTCCTGTGTGCCTGTCAGTAACCCTCAGTGTTTCCTTTTGGCACTTTGGATTTGCCCCGAGTTCTGCCCAGGAGCAAGTTGTCTCCATGAATAACAGAGTATCCCTAGATGTGTGCCACAGAAGAATCTAAAATGTTTACAACAAATAAAACCATCCTCACTGTAGAATCTGGTGTTTTAAAACCTGCAATGCAATACATATATATAACAGCCATTTGGGTATAGGTGAATCATTCAACCAAAAATGGGTCGTTTGTTACTTATTTTATTGTTTATAACTTATGAAGATATTTATTTATTTGAGACAAAACAATTTTTTAGATTAATTTTGTTTGTTTTTTTGCCTTTTTTTAGAAGAAGGTCTGTTAGTAAAATTAAATCTCAACAAAAATATGCAACTTCTTGGTTTATGTTGCAAAGAATGTGTCCTTCCGAGGCTGTTTCTCCTTTTAAAGACTGGATATAGTTCTGACTTATTTACAACAAAGTGTCAYGAAAGGATGACTGTCTGAGAATATAAATGGTTTGGATGAGCACGGCATTCTTAAACTGGAACAAATGAACTAAATCTCAAGGAGAAAAGCTACAAAAGATTAAAAACAGAATTATGGAAATATGGTAACTGACATCTAGTTAATTATAGCAAAACAAATGAACAATGTTGAATAACAAGACGTGTCGACAAAAAACCCAGGCAAAATACAAAACTGATGTTTTTTAATGAATTTTGAGTTTTAAAAATTGTTTAATTATGTAAAATATAATTGAAAACTTGGAATAACAGGCATAAAAAAGGCCATCGCTTTCATCCCCAGTCTGACGGGTACAGTGTGATCTGTGATGATTTCTGCTTTATATTATTCACCACAGATCTCAGTTGAAAACGAAGCTTTTTCAGTCAGTCACAACATGTTCCTGCTTCATCCCCTTTTGCTTTTTTTGTATGCGTGAGTTCAAATTTATTAACAGAGGAGGGAGAAATATTTTTTAGTTCCTTCTGAAATTTTGATTTCATAGTTGTGTTGAGGTTTAACACCCAGGAATGAAGACCAGTACTAGGAGCATGAGGGAACCTGACAACCAGACAGGCATGAGGAACGCAAAACACAGGAAACCCAGAATACATATAGATAAATCATAATAACCACAAAGGGAATAAATAATGATTAGGGATGCACAGATACCTGTATCTGATATTGGGCCTGATGTCAGCATTTAACAAGCACTTGTACTTGTTCAAAATGCCTCGATACACAGAACCGACACCTTTTTATTGCGTGGATATTCACATATTAAAATCAGCTTCCATTTCACTCCAGTGTAAATGTTTTATGCCGTTGATGTGACATCACATTCCACTCTCTGTTTATAGGAGTACAGTATATACAACTGGTCACTAAGGTGGATGCTACTTCTTAGCTTGTTGATTCTGAAGTTGTTGTTCAATCAGAACTAGTAGAATAACTATCTGTCGTGCAAGTTTAGTTCACTGTTTACATTTTAACCTCCCTGTGGTCGATTGTTTTGATGAAGCGTGTATTTTATGGAACAAGAGCGATGTATTGTGCTCCGAGTAAAGCTAACAAAAATATCAATCCACTTTAGCGTCAACACGATCTGACACGTTGCTATTAGATTTTTCTTTGGGTTCTCAGTCATCCAGGAGGTAGACGACTGTTCTGTAGCTGAAGACGTGTGGTGCTACAAGATTTAAACTACCTGACTCGAGGTTAGTGTCCTTATTAATTGGATCAACTTGTAAACCCACACCTCACAGACATAAACGTCTGAGAAATGCGGTATGACCATTTACAGTGGTTTGCAAAAGTATTCATACCCCTTGAACTTTTCCATATTTTGTCACATTACAACCACAAACATAAATATATTTCACTGGAAT